CATAGGAAACTGATGTCTTTTGTGACTTAAGTATCACAGACAATTTTAACTAGTTTTTGCCCTAAAAATACAAAATGAATTCTGATCTGGGCCTGAGGAGAGGCAAAAAGAACATCAACTGCCAAAACCATCAAGTTTGATTTCAGCAATCACCGATTTGAAAGAGCATGCAAGACAAAACTTAATATCAAAACCTTTATGGTTAAGCTCACGGCAAAGCAAAAAGTGACAATAGAAGAGAGCGTGTACTGAGAGCCGGAGCTGGAAGGACAGTGAGAGTGTGGGATGTAATGATGCTGAAAACCTGGCAATCAGTGAATCACTGCATCATGGACTAAGTACTGATTTTTTTCAAAATGCTAAATCACAGTACCAGTTTTTAATCAGCAACACGCCATCCTGATGCATAGGCATCCAACATACAGCTTTCCGGGGTTTGAAAATGACATTTCCTCATCACAATTCAATTTGTCATCATGGACATATTCTGACAAATCCGGGAACACCAACCTTGAATATACAATCATCAAGCCTGTTCCCTCATTTACGCACTCGATTGTCGAATGTCAAAACCACTTCCACTAATCGTTTTTATTTTAGCATCAGTTTCTTGCACCGCGGCCTTATCTTGCTGCCGTAGATTTTATTTGTCAAACACCTCCCCTCAATTCCAAAGCCCTGCAGCAACGCTCCTACTTTGAATGAACTTCAATTACTCCAACAACCGCCGGCCGGTCCCTTACTCATGCCGTACCCACACGATGCCAACGCGCCCTACTGTAGGTTCATTGACCGGTCACGATGACGGGCCCGACAATCTAGAAATCGGAGGACGCTAATTCTCTTTTTTGTCATTTTAGTGACAACAGTGAGAGTATCAATTTAATTTGTATGGTGACACTGTTTTTTTGTACACAAACTGCATGTTACAATTTTTTATTAACGGTTACTGTAAATCTAACGTTACGTCAAACTATCACCGGACAATAATCTCAGTGCTTACGAAAGCGAAAGTAGATTTTGATTTTCCCGATGGAGTCTCAGTATCGGTATTAAAACTTACACTTCAGCTAGCAGCCATAGCCGTTTATTTGCGTGAAACGTACTCTCGGACTGGGGAACGCCGAACGTAATAAATGTATCACAAACGCGACCGGTAAAATATGAACTCAGTAGCCTTTTCAGATTTGGTTTTGAATTAAACGGACAGATATTCCAGCCGCAGCAAAAACCCGAAGATAGACAGAAAGAATGAATGGATGAAAGGAAGGAGGAAGATTATCTATCGTGAGTAGACAGATTTTAGCCGATATACACGTGAAAAACTATTGCCGACTGAACGGCACAGATAGACTATGGTCGAGGGTACGAAATGCACGATCTGGCACTTTCTAATAGGCCACAACTTATAGCCGAGAGTTGACGTAAATTCTGACAAGTTACGGAGGCAAGTGCTTATCTCTCTCTCTCTCTCTAACGCAAGGGGTTGATATGATGATGCGACAAGTACGGAACTTTCGGAATGTACGGATTGACACAAAAACAAAGAAGATTGGAAGCACGGCAGAACGGTTTTTTTTTTCTCTTCTTTTTCTTTCGGCGCCCATCGAAAATCCGGTAGTTTTGACACCTTATCGGTATGTCGGTAGAACAGGCCCAAAATCGGTATCTACCGGAAAAATAGGTAGATTTAGGCAGCCCTGTCTATACCAAAACCCAGCTACACCAAAGAAAATCTGGTGGTCCTGCAGATTTCGGATGAAGCGGTTTTCACTGTACATGCATACATGATCCAGAGTCTGACCGCTCAACATTGGGCACATAAATACCTACCTGAGACAGAGCCACACAGAAGATCTGCTGGTTACGGCCAGTGGAAGTGTTAACGCTAGCAATAGGCTCCCCATTCACGTTCCACACATGGAGGAATGTACCAGCACAGGTGGCTATGTCGCCCTGGGGAAGGGAGAGAAAACATCACATCCAAGAGTCAGACGAAAACCTTACTGGCATCAGCCACAGCAACGGCGCATTATGGAAAGTTGTATTACAGTGCAATTTCCAAACCCACTCCTCAGTGCCCACATGACCTTTGGGATTACAGAATATGCGACAGTAAATATAAAACTTTGGTTTGCTTCAATCTCATCCTAATTCTGACGAGAGTTTTGCATGATAAACACATGCAGTTGCATCTTTATCAATTGGTGAAGATGTTGAATTCACAATCCTGTGATCACGAAAACAATTCACTGCTCTGCTGCGTAAAATATAATTACTTGATAAAAATTCTTTACTTTGACTTTCTAATTACACCAGTTTGCAAATGAGTACATGACAAAAGGCAGAGATGGAAATATGTGAATGGTAGCACTTACTTCCCTACTGGGTCTGTAATATGTTTGTTCCAATGGGACCAAAATGCTAAATCAGAAAGAATATGACGCTTTGTAGTTGCATTTAGAAAGAAGAGACACAAGACTTTAACTTTGTGAAATGTTAAAACTCATGAGTATTTTTCTATAGTTAAGACTGACATTAAGACACACTACAACTTACGGAAAACTCTTTTAGACTATGGCTTTGACATAATGAGACACTAAAACTTTCAGCAAACTCTTTTAGGCTAATTTGACTTAATGAAATACTACAACTTACGAAAAACTCTTACAGGCTAAGACTTTAACATCATAAACCACTAAAACTTACAAAATTAAGCTAAGACTTTGATGTCATGACACACTACAACTTACAGTAAGCTCATTGATCGCCACAGCTGCAACTGGTGCCACATGCCCTCTCAACTGATGCACAAACACCAGCCGGCTCATGTCCCAAAGGATGCAGGTTCGATCCCGGGAGCCACTGAGGATGAGGCTGTAAGCAGCAGAGGCTGTGAGGCAAGTGACGGGCTCCGTATGTCCGTACAAAGGCTGCTTCAGCGTTGCCTTGCGGTCCTTGCTAGAATGTTCCCACACATTCACCACCTGAAACCAGAACATACAACGATGAATCAACATTGTCCGTCTCAAAGAATGCATAGTACCATAATCCTTTGAGTGCCGGCTCCATGAGTCTGCAGGACTGTTTGCCCTGAGCTTCTTTTGATCGACTGGAAGATTTACAACATCACACTCTGAGGCATGTGTTCACCACGCAGAAGAGCCTGTAAATGAAGACCCCATTCAGGCTTGTCCTCCTGCCAATGGGGTGAAAACAACCTTGTTATACATTTGAGATCTTGATCCTATGATTCCCATCATGCCAGTCTCTCTGCCAAACAGTAAACATATTTGAAGTATTCCAAACTTTGGCCACTTTAATTGTTAGTACCCTGAAAACAACCTCAGCCCAATCCATATTGTATGTAGCATAGACGCAGGGAGACTCCCGACTCACCTACAAAGACAACTCATAACTACAAACCACAGTAAGAAAACACTTTCTGCCTCTGATTTGTGGCAGGAGGGAAGGTTGAGATGGTTGGGAGTGCATTTGGCAAAAAGCAGGATAGGGGGAAGGGGGTAGAAAGTATATTCATCATTTCTTTTGGAGCCTCTTTTGGACCCAATACATCTGCAAAACACAAATAATAGATAAACATTCTGCAATAAAGTGACATGCCTTAACATTTCAGCACTTGATTCAGTGGCTTGCTATGAGAAGAAAAAATGTGAAAATGGGAGAATAGGAATGTAGTACTTACACAGCTGGTTCCTCCAGTGATAAAGATTTTGTCATTTGGACAAGCAGCACACAGGATCTCTCCATTGTCCAGACCCTCAAACACAGAAATGGCCTGAGGAACAGCAGGAGTTTTGTGACATTTCCTGGCTCGGAAGGGAGCATAACTGGCAAACTTTTTCACACAAAAGCCACAAACTTTTTTAAAACTTAAAAGTATTTCATAACACAAACCTACCACTTTATTACGATTTGTTTATCAAAGGTGAAAAGAAAAATAACACAATTCATGATCACTGAACCTCCAAACTCTATATTCAAAACCTTTAAAAAAAGTGATCAGGCATATGTGAAGACAAAATACTTATGAGTATGCCCAAGTTCTCAAATCTGAGTGATAAACCTTTTAGCATTATTCAGGTTATTCAAGATGCTTATTAATGAAAGAACACCAACTTTCAATAGAACACTGTCGATGATGGAAGTCAAACAATCTCTCCAATTAACCCTTACTGATTCATAAACATCTTTGCAAGGATCCATTAAGTTACATGTTTATATCTGAAAAAGAAAAGACAGTTTGCGCTTTGAATCTTTACAATCCAGCTAAAAGAGATCGGTGTCAGTGCATAAGCCCATTGCTCCCTCACCTTGTCTGAGTCGTACGGTCCGATGCGCACGCTCTGGTCTGAGAAGCCCCAGGCCAGGTACCTGGTGTAGGTGGGAGGTATCAGCACCTTGTTCTGCTCCACAGCCAGGAGGTATTTGTCAGCCTGGTGGATCTGACCAACCGCACCCTTCAGCTCTGGGGGGCGAGGATACAATGTGCATGGGTTATCATTGGCATTACTCAAAGTTATAATAAGAACAATATCAAAGGCTGGCAATTTTTTCTAAAAATACATGTAATATTTTAGAACCTATAAATGTAGAGAATAATGTGAGTGTTGCCTCCTCCTTCCAATTCCAGAGAGCTCAACATTTGAATTTTGACTTATGGTCCCTGCCTGAAATCAATCATTTCCTGAAAACCAAAAGAGAAATCACATCATTTATTTTCTCCGTTGGAGAAATATACCTACATTCAGCACAATAATCAATTCTTATAACTCAAATTACTCAAGTTGAATAAAGTGTTTTCTTTCCTCATTACAAAAGTTAGGATCTGGAGGGAAAAAAAGAAGGGATAATTGCATGTGTTTTCTCACTGGTGTACGGAAATGAAAAGACAAAGGAAGACTACCTTTGACTGGCTGCATGGAAGGCTTCAGATTGTCCACATGGTGGAAGAACAGTGGGTTCACAGGGATGTTCAGCCTCTTCTGTGGGTGTGGCTTCTTGAACAGCTGAAAAATGGAAAGTAAACTGCACAGTCATCATCTTCATTGCCACTACCATAGCCATCTTCTCTTCATCATCTCAAGACTGGAACAACAACAATTTTTTTTATTTCATCTAGGCTTATATCTCCAGACTCAGAGAAATTTGTAAAAAAACACTTAAGCACTATCATTTTTGTATCTCATTCACTAACCACCATTTTGCATTCTTTTCAAAATTGTGGGACGCGGTGGAAAATAAAAATAAATTCAATTGCATTGAAAATTATAGTTTTCACGTATCACAATGGTTTCCAAAAACAGTAAAAATCCCTTAATCTGTCAAGAGGAGAGGAAAAGAATACAAAAAAGAAAGCTAGACCCAGGACTGGCCCTTGTCAAGGTCACATTTACCCTAAGGAATCTTTAAGCATTGGGTTGCATTAGCCCACATAATATGGCTAGAGTTCCTGGATTACGGCAAGCGCTCCAATGTCCAACAATAAAGGATAAGATGTGCACAACTGATCTATTTCTGTTGTATTCATCAACGTCCATCAGTCAGATATTCAGAGTACTATGACACAATTGGTTATCATCTATTTCTGAACAGGACACAGCATTGAGACATATAATAAATTGGACAAACGATTTCATGAAGCATAAGAGCACATAAGAATTCCTCTAATGACAGCAATAGATTCAACACAATTTCAGATCGTTTAGAAGTCAGGTCCCTGTGACCTTGCCTGTCAGGACCAACCCACACTTTGTGGGATATAGTTTCTGGGCAGAAAGACTGAGAAAGCTGAAAAAATAAAGGTCCTCATCAGGAAATCGAATTCACATTTTCTGCCTACAACTTAAGCATGCAACAGCAAAGAACCTAAACCATTACATAACAGACTCGGGTGAGCTCCTTCAAAACAGGCAAAAAAGTTCATTCAAGATAAACAGAATCAAACAGACACAATGACTGTTAGCTAGTGCAGGATAAAAGCAAGACGGACAGTCAGAAACACCAGAAACATCAATGGAAAAAAACCAGGACAGTGTCTGAAAGAAGGGGAGAACATGAAGTGGTGTAACCTACTTTAAAAAAAAAAAAGAAGCATTTTCATACTTGTTTCGGAATCTGGCCAAAGTTATTGATGAAGCCAATGGTGGCATTTTTCTTGAGCGGGTCGTCGATACTGTAGATGTCAACATTGCCTTCGTAGAATAGATGGTGGAACACATTGACCGCATCCACCGCCGGCGGGCCGCACTGTTTGAAGCCAAAGATCAGATCGATCCACTCGTGGAGGTGAGCACTGACGTAGTCACATTCCAGAGCCTGGGAATGAGAGGGAACTAGTCAATTGTGTGCTTGCCTTCAATAAAAAAAGAGGCGACTGGCAGAGAAAGAGGTACCATGGCGATGTATAATGTTGATGCTAACTCAGGGCTTCCACCAGCTGAAGCTGAAAAGTAAGGAAAATTCTGCCGGGGGGTTTGGGGGCGAATCCCCTGAAGAAATTGAAATTTAGTACTTTTAGAGGGTTCAAAATGGCATTTGGGAGCCTGTTTGAAGATATTGCCAACAACCCATACTACCTATTTTTTCACCAAGATTTTGTCTTGTTTGATTTCTTCACAACATATCTTTCCATTGCTGGCAATGTTTAAAAGCAGGTTCCTCTTCCATTGCTACAATAATTCAATTAATTTGTCATTGCACCATTGATAGAAAGCAAACCTGGGAATACGGAATAGATATGCACCTCCACAATAGTTACCCAGCGTATACCTTAATTTTCACGTCTGAATGTCGCATGTCACAACCTCGGAACACCACTTTGAATAATTCTTGATTTTAGTAGTTTAAGAACAAATGTCTTTCATCACGGCCCTTTTCGTGCTCCCGTGCTATAGAATCTTCGCACTAATAATTTCTCTAGACCTAGACAATAAATTAGAAAAAAAAGTTTCTTTCTGACAGTAATTTTCTGTCTAAGATCACATGTCAATATACTTGATCAACGCGCAGATTTTCCAGCCGCGGCAAAAATCCGAAGATAGACAGACGGAATGAGGGAAAGATAGAAAGGAGGAACGTGGCATAAAAAGTACCACAGATTTTGATCAATCTACATGTTAAAAAAGTATTGCTGACCAACCCGCAATGAACGCAAGGGGCATAGCGGAATAATGTCCGATTGCAGGAAATGCGCAATCTGGCAGGTTTCTATAACATTAACTATTGCAGAGAGGATTACCGTAAATATCAGTAACTTCTACAAGACAATACGAAGTATGAAGGCGAGTACGGATCTTTTGCTACGGAATTTCGGTAGTAATACGCTGTCGCAGATTTTTACAGAGGGAGTTGATAATGATGGAGGAACAAGTACGGAACTAGCAGAAAGTACGGATTTCCGTAAAAATACGGAAGAGTGGAAGCACTGCTAACTATGGAGATAAACAAAAATATTCATATGCTAGAGGTGTTTTAAAGAAATACAATTTCAATGGAAATATAAAACTGTATTACTCTTTGTTGGTAGTATTGGAAGTTCCATTGAGATTTTACGTCTTAACAGCTGATGAACTTTTTCAGAGACAAAGAGAAGTACACAATAACGGCAATTCAGTGTTGGCAAAATCAATTTAGAGAAATAACAAGAGGAGAAACGTCCGATTTATTACCAGATCCTTTGGAGAACCCATACTACCAGGCAATTCAAGAGAAAGATATCTGAATCTCCTCATCTCTCGTCTGCAGACCATTAGCTCAGTACCACGCCATGGCCCCGGTGATCCTGGTTCAAATCTCAAGTGGGCTATTTCATATTTGTATCACGGAGGAGATTTTATGAATATTGACCTACCTGGCTCAGTTATATTAAAAGGAAATAAATTTCGAGGTCCAGCCTCTTAAATAACTATCCATGTTGTACCAAACAAAAACTTCTACACTGTGAGAACTATCACACTACATGTAACGCTTCAGTGAGCGGAATACGGCATGAGATGTTCTTGTACACTACCTGTCTGTGCACTCGGATGAACTCTCTTGGGTCCCCCTTGGCCCATGGAGGCAGGATGACATCACCAAGGGCTACACCATTCTGCTTGGCACCTGGAACAGAGAAAACATGACCATGTGGTAAAGGTTATTACATGAGACGCATAACATTAATTGTAACAATTAAAACAGCTTCTGTACTTTCCTCAACAGCTCTATAGGCCACTGAGTAAGGAGCAAGCGCTTTGAAACTCAGATATGCAGTACATTAAAAAAATTGGACTGTCTTTTAAAAAAAATATAACATGGACAGAACATTTTTAAAAAAAGTTAAGAACTACCACTGAGGTATCGATGGGCTTGATATATTTAAGTAGCTCACCGAGGTCAAAGTTGTTCTTGTTCAGCATAAAGTCGGGAAGATAGAAAAACTCTGGAATGAGCTCCTTCACATCGGCCATGTTGTTCTTGGATGCAGACAACCAGTTCTCTCGGATGCTATGGAACATTCGGTCAGCCAGGTCAAAGTGACCGCCCTGAGAATAAATGATGATTTCTTAGATAGTGTTTACAAAACTAACAAGACATGATTACAGGATGGAATAAAAGAGACAAAAACAAGTAATGAAAAAGAGGGGGTAGGGGGAAGGGGGCATTGTTCCAGGAAAGAGGTGAAAACACAGAAGGAGTTTCAAAACATTATGCTACATTAAAAACGAACTCGTTACTTTTCTGGTTTGAACATAAAAATACGCTGTTAACACAATACTGCCACTAGCAAGAAGGTCCAATTCCACAACTACATTTCGATTACTATACTCAGCGGCAATAGAAACTGTCCACCTGGAAAGAAGCCAGTATTGTGGCTTTATTTGACATAAAAAAACACAAACTGACACAGACATATTTTAAAGTATGTCAAGAAGTGTTTTACCATTTACTTCTTGATCAAGTGTGGCACAGTGTTGAGCACAAACTTGTACCCCTTGATTTCAAAATTTCACGTCAGTAATGAGCATTGTAGCCCTTTGCAATGATGCAAGCTTGGCATGTTCTGTGCATTGATTGAGTCAGTTTTTTGTTTCTTATTTTATTTAATTGTTGTGGCAGTCAATTCCACTCTTGAATCAAAGCTTATCCCAGTCGTTGCACAATCTTACTGTCGTTTTGGGAGCTACCTTTTAGGCCAGGTCAGTTCATGAGTAATTATTGGAAAGATGGCAAACGTTGGTCATTTCAGGGCCGCCTTGCTCGATGTCCGAATGTGTTTTAATGCCGTTGTATCCTTCTATCGCTGATACTCTTTCAGCGTTTGTATGAAATTGGAGTGCAGAGCTGGTTGTTGTGAGAAAGAGACCTCAAAGATACCTGAGCAGTGTTTGTCTGTCTTCTTGGGCGGTATCGACCTGTGGTCTGCCTGGTCTTGGTCTGTCAGGTGTAACTCCAGTGTCTTGGAACGAATCTTTCAGGATATTGATGGTAGAGTGGGAGTAATGAAGCATTCGCGCTCTCTACGGGCCGATAGTATAGCTTGGAGTGTTCAAATTGTCTAACAGCGCGCCTCGGGGCTTAACTTTGGCATCTTGTAAAGCAATTTAAGTTGACAAAAGCCAGCTGGAATGTCTATCTAACTTGTTTTTTCCGTTCTAAAATCGCTGATGTGTTGATCTAAACACAATTTTGACGATTTCATAATTTCGGTGGAGCTTAAGTCGCAAAAATGTGAGTCACGTGACCACAAGGTTAAATTTTTGTTCAGGAAAAAGATCAGCGTAGAGTCCTCGTTGGGTACATGGCGTGATGTGCAAAATTTCGCTCACTTACTCAAGTGAACTAAGGCACAATTACAAAAAACAAAGTGGAAAGTTTCTATTGCCGCTGGTTATATAAAAGGAACTGCCAACAGCATGAAGTAAACATACTAAACAAAAGAAAAAAATAAAGAAAAAAAAGCAAAGGAAGTGAATGACACTAAGCCTCCTGCCAGCCTTCTTTCACATAGCAGAGATCTATTATAGGCTCGAAATATTTACTATGAATAGAGAGTGCTTCTGTGCGAATGATACAAGCACATTTTCAACATCAAAGTTGTGCATAGCTTATGGGGACAAAAAATAATCCTTTTTTTACCCCTCTGCTTCCCAAAAGGAGAGAGAGGGAGCTCCATTACAACACAGAGACACTTTAAAAAAATAAACTTTCTAACTGGGAAGAATAAAACATAATTTTTTATTTTTCTTTATTCTTTCAGATTTTCTTTCCCCCTTTTGTTTCCATTTTCAGTACCTGTAGCTTGAGAAAGTGCTGAGTGAATGGCTCCATGCGAACAAGGTAGGAGGCCACAATCATGGCAGAGGAGTAGTGAGTGCCGTAGTGGTATGGTGGCGTCTCTCCTGGGGGAAGAAGAATCAAACCATTGAAATAACCTTCCTTAACTCTTTTTGTACAAATCCACAATACCCTTGATACCTGGAGCCACAGCCAGGTCAATTCATGATGTATTGTCCAAAGGATCTTTCTTTCATTATTTCCTTTCTTCTTCTTGCTTGTGCAACTTCTTAATCATAACTTAAAATGATTACTCTCAATGAACATTTTGGTAAACTCTAATCAGTCCAAGATTACCACCCACTGTCAAGAAGAAAATTGGTCATCTTTGACAGACGGTCCTCTTGGACAGTGTAATTATGATATAGAAAAAAACGAAAGGGGGGAAATGGGAAGGATTTGTATATGTTGGGCTAGTGGTGGTTAGAGCAGGTTTGACTTTACTCTTTTCTTTTGTTTTCAATTCGATATTTAACTGGTCTACTTTAATTCATAAAATAGATCCAGCCACACCCCACACTACATTCAACCTGTCACATTTATGACATACTGGCCTTTCACAAACCTAGAAAACCCTTAAACACTGAATAAAATACATTCCCACCCAAAGACCCTTTCATATGGAAAGCCTTAACAAATAAACTTGACACACTTCCGAAAAAAACAGAGTCTCGTACATGTTACAAAAGCAGAAATCCCATAGAAAAGCTAACCTTAACATTAACTCCAATGACCACCAGATGGGTTCTCAAATTTCTTTTCCTTCTTCCACCAATACAAAAAAAGACAATAAAATTTGATACTGGATTTAATTTCCATTCTTACTTCAGTAATACATCACAAGAACCTTAAAACATTTCTTCTCTCTAAAAGAAAATGTGAAGTTTCTGTGATAAAAACAAGGCAGGCATTGGATGTACTATCTATGTAGTGCAAAAATGTGCTTAGCCCCCAGGGCGGTGCCACTGACTGAAGTGTCTTTAGGTCATTCCCAAAGGGGGGACATTTCTCGTTATAATGCACAGTAGAATTGTAAATGGGCAGATCCAACAAAGTCTCATAACTGTGCCTGAACTACAACAGGGAACTGTTGCCTTTTCTTTCCTAATCCTTACTATCGTCATTTTCCTCTACTTCTTTTGTATGTTCGTCACACTCTTGTGAACCGCTGTTTCAGGGGTGCCTTGATAGTTGAAGCAGACTTTGTGCTGTTGAAGCTAGAGAGGTGAGCAGAGTAAGTCTGATTCCCTGTTAGGACTTCTCAGTTGACATCCACCCCTTGGTGCTCATATGACCTTATGCAGTTGCGAGCGCCGTAAAACCTCTACTAAATCTTTTAAAAAATCTAAAAATGTGCTTACCCTGTGGGTCGTCCCACTCGTTGTATCTCTTCATGAACTGTCTGAGCCGATCAGGTGTCTGGGCTCCCATGGGTTTGGACAGGTCCCGGAAGTTGGCTGCTTTGTTGAGATCCAGCTCCTGAGGAGTTGAAGAAGTGAGACTTGTGAGTGTCAGTTAACTCCTTCTTTATGCATTCCAGTTGTGTTGGTTAAAGATAGACCTTATTGCATGCAGCATTGTCAGATGACTTGGTGCTATAGCCACCCATATTCTTAGTCCCCAAGTCAACTTAATACTTCGCACAATCTTTACCTCCTTCGCATTCTATTAACTTTTAAATCCAGGTAGCCTTTCCATTTTCACACATTCTGAGGGGGTCGCACACTTATTTTACCAAAGAAATGATAAGTTACGATGATTTCTATGAATGCACTCAGTGCGCTACTTTAAAACATTTCGTGCGTGAGGTTATTAAGTGTCACAGACACAAGGGAAACAATACAAGAAAATAAATGGCAGACTCATAAAAAATATAACCTGTAGTATTTTCAAACCTCCCTAAAATATCGAAGTTTGGGTGACTGTTGCAGTTTTCCAAAACCATTCTGTATATTTTTGCTTCGCAAAAGCTGGAGAAACCATATTGTCAATCAGTTCAGAGGAAGGAACAATAAAATATATCCCCTTTTACTTACAGGAGGAGCGAATGTAAATTTCTGGGTGTGTTTGAACCAACAAGAGTACGTACGTCTGAGTCATAGTTAGCAATGATCCAAGGGAAGACTGGGTACTGCATCAGGTCGTTGTACGAGCGTCCAGCCAGAGTGTTCAGGTGCATCAGGTACTGGAAGTTGCTAATCTCTCCTTTCTGGAATCACAACAGAAAAGAATAACTGCAATTATTCGAGTGAATCTTTTTTTTGGTGTGTTTTAAGAGAAGCAGTTTGACAACATGATGGTAATTTCAGGTGGGTACAAGCTAAGGCAAACAGTCAGAAAAAAAGGGAAAGGAAACAAATAGGACATACCACAGGCACCCTCCAGTCATCCTCTTACCCAAGAGAAAACTTGGGAAAAACTAAAATATAGAGGAAAAGACAAACTAGAAAAAAACTTTAATGAAAGCCAAGGAGACAATATGAGTGTAAACTAGAAACTCTCGATGACCACACAAACATGAAGGAAGACTGACCCTGATCAAGGAACGTTTTTTAATATTAAAAATGTCTCCAGGAGTAATACATCAAAAAGACACTCAAATTATCTATTTCTACTTCCAGTACCAGAAAGGCTCTGGGCATCAAAACTTAGATCCACGACTACATTGGTTTTTAAACCAGAGAATCTTTGATCTAGGACAGTGATCAGCCAGCAATGACTGGTGTATTCATAGTGAACTGAAAACCCCCCCATCAAATCAAAAGAACATGGACTTGGACACCTGGTTCCACCTTGTAGAGAACCTATGACACTGTGGTGAACCTATGACATATGGCTGCATATGCCGGGTCTATTATTTGATAAGTGTTTTACTGCGCTCACAACTGCATAAGGTCATATGAGCGCGCGGGACACAATAAACTTTTTCAGTTGATAGGAAATTTTGAATTTTGCCCGAGATGCGGCCGAAGCTTACTCTTATCGATTTTAGATTACCAAGGGATCTTTAATGTGCACAACTTGCACATGGGCTCTCCAAGATTTTTAGCCCTCGTCTGAGAAGGCTAGGTGTAGATCTTTCCTACCACAAGATCAGAGGTGTGGCTAAAAGACAGCAGTGAGAGGGAGCCAAGGCGTAGCAGTAAAAAGGCCGCAGAAAGAGTCCGGAGTCCAGAGGAGGGGGCAAAGGGGGTGAGGAGGTGAGGGCAGAAAGAGGAGATAAAAGCAGATGACAGCACATTGCTAGAGAGCAGGAAAAGAGGTGAAAAGAGACAATCTTAGAAAAGAAAATTTTTCCGTCGCTACCCAGATTCGAACCCGCGACCTTTGAATGAGAGACCAACACCTTAACCATTAAGCCACGAGAGCCCCCTTAAGCTGGGTCTACAAGGCAATGATGAAAGGTAACAATGACATAAAAACTATACCGTCAGAGGGAAGATGCTAGAGAAATGAAAAAACCCACAAAAAACAAAACAAATCATAATTGATATTTTGAGAAATACCTCCAATAAAATGGGATTCTAACAGAAACATTCAGATAGACATAAACAGAATAGGCTCTGGGGTAGTAATTTTTTTTTTTTCTTGACCATCAACAACCATAACAGTGCTACCAAATTTTAGATACATCTCCAAATTTTTTTCCTTACCTCCCACCGCTGCGTGACAGATTTTTCTCCAATCAAGTTGCTGATAATTCCACCTCTGAAAAATAAAAATTTTTAATTCATTTTAAGTTGTTATATTAACTCTATTGATTCTGTACATTCTGGTCTACAGGAATGGGGTCACTGAGATGGAAAGTGCAGCAGGCATTGATTTCTGTGAGCCAAAGGGAAGAAAGAAAGAGGAGTAATAGTGGGCTGAATAAACGATGCAATGGTTAGGTTCACCTTGAATGTACGGAACAAAAGTTCAGTTCCTGTTTGGGGCAGTTTATTTTATCGCATATGTCTTTCAGCTGGACTATTGCTTAGTGGGTTGGCCTAACAGACAGGGTTGAAACAGCCTACTTCCTAAAAGACCAAATTATGTGGATGGGGGAGAAAAATTCACAATTAAAGATTTACCATGAAAGAAAATCCAAAACCCATGACATTAACCGAAATCACTGCTGTTTAGATAATCCTCAGTGTTGTGAGGTAGACGGAGAAAGGAAAACTGAATAGTTCAATAAACTGAAACAACAACATTCAGCCCTATCAGTGAAAAAGAAAAAAATCTCTTAGCTCAGGGTCACAGTACAGAACTTACAGGAAATATGGCTTACAGCCAACCAGGAAAGGAGTCAAACCAAGCAAGTTTTAGGACAACTCAGCACACATCTCCTTACATCTCTAACGTAATGGTACCCGCCACCTAAATGATCTAAACTGAGTCAAAGTGAGGTGTAAAACATTTACAATCGGTCAGTATGTGTCCCCACTTACCCAGTCTCCACTTTAGCATTCTGTCTTTGTCCAGAAACTGAGTGTTGAGCGTTGTCTGTCATGGCAGTAGCCACAGACAGGAATCTGGAACATAAGAGAAAAACACATTTTTTTCAGTAAAAGTATTAATAAAATAAGCTCCTTGTTTGACCACACATATGAAAAAGAATTGGTTTATTATGGTTTTTAAAAAAAAGCAAATTGATACAACAACAGCCATTTACTGCTGGGAATAGCGTGATCACCAGACAGAAACAGCAGATAAAACAAATGAGGTACAACCTACCAGTGGCGCCCTTAGTTGCCTACTTGTATAAGACAAAGAACCATCACATTTCCCCATCATCTAGCACTTGACAACATCAGAGCTACCCTACCTCCCCCCCCCCTTCCAGTCTAAACACTACTCTATGAGACAACAGAAAGTTTTAAGCCATTAGACAAAAGGTTGAACATCAATGGACCAATCAATTATAGTAAAAACAAAAACTTAATTCAAGCGGTATAAAAGGTTTTCAAACATTTCAATATGTGTGTTTTAAAAAATACAGTGAAAAAGAAAAGGTACTTTTGAGTCCCATTGCACATAATGCCAACTTTCAACCCATAAAGCACCATGCAGAGATATATAACCAATCTCCCTTTCCCTTCCTCTATAAACACTTACTTTGCCAGCACTTTGTTCCGAATCTTGCGTGGGAAAGCTAGAAGGTGGTTGCGGCCGTCACCAGAAAAGACTTCAATTGCAATTGGCTGCAGCAGGTAGCGACGTTTGTGGACCTCTCGGATGTCATCATAGGCAAACCGGCTGTACCTGAGGGTAGGGGGGAAAAGAGAGAGAGAGAGAGAGAAGTCCAGTCAACTCCAGCCGTATCACGTTGGGATTATGGGATTGCAAATTCAAAGCTCACTCACTGATGTGAACTTATATATTCATTTCTCATCAGCATAAGCTAACGTTGACATCCTGTGTCTCAACTTTGTAATTACCACTTTCTGACAAGGTCGTATTCTCTGAGAGATCAATAAAGTACTTATCAAATTTACCTTTTTTTAATTAGCGTAACTCCCATCTAGCCACAAGGAGGTCTCTTCGAAAACAACAGTACAAAGCCAAGGGATTATAACCAAGGGACTAAAGCAACGAAGGAAGTAGGACAAATGGTGGAGCCAATACATAAAATTTAATATTAAATCACATGCACATCCCAGCAGAGATGTTTCTGTGTTTTTCTACAATTTAAGTGGTTACACTCCCTGCTCTTGTGCATGGGGCCTATTTCTTACCCCTCAACAACAGGTAAGAAGGGAGAGTGAGTAAAGAATGCATTACTTAAAGACATAAAATTAGTTTCCTTCCGTCAAAAGACAGAAGAACCCCAGAGCAGAAAATTCATGCATTTTCTCAGGCAGGCAAAACTATCAACTCACGAAAAAAAAAGTTAGCATGGCAGGTCTGACTATCAGGTTCACCATCACTGATCTTCAAACAACAAACAGCCATCTTTCCTCCTCTCTCCCCTCACCATTTCAATGTTTTGCAAAGACTTAGACATTACATTTCACCCAACATACACATTCAATACCTAAACCAGGCCCAGTTCCTTTACTCAATCAAATGAGACGGAAAAGCAGCAATTTAATCTGAGAAAAATGAGAAGATAAACAGTACTCTGAAAAACACAAAACACAAAATGAGACAATGAAAAACAAAAATGACGATTAATAAAATCATAAAAACTTACATTCTTTTCAGGTTCCCGCCTGTTCCCATAGAGGACTTTGGAATGATCGGGTCGTGGATTCTGCACAAGAAACAAGGAAAGGTCTCAATAATTGCCTGCTATGTTTTGTCAAAAAAATTATGTTTCTTCATTCATTTTACACCACAAGTTCTCACTTTCCGTTCAAAAATCAAAAGTGTTTCTCATAGAAACAAAAGTAAGCTGCCAATTCTTCTAGTTAGCGAGCACTGTATGTTCAGGCTGTGAGTCAATGATGACAAAATCCTTCAATATAACCCTTAGCTTGCATGAATGATACAGCTGTAATAGTAACTAGATTGTCGTAATAGTTGTTTTTGATCCATTGGTTCAGTTAACCAATTAACTGCTGATTGTCCAAGATTGTTTGTGAGAGCAAAAATTTTTTTTAAATTACCTGACAACAGGCAAAAACAGCTGAAACTTCACTACAATCCAAGATATAATAAGAAAGAACTTAATTATTCTGAAATAGAATCTGTCTTATGGCTGCTAATAGTGATATTTAACTAACTCTATACTCACAGTAGAAAAAAAGCTTGAGAACAAATACTACTTCATAGTCTCCTACCAGTCTCTCTCACCCACACACATTAAAACTTGTACAAAGATAAGCAAACTCCCATATACGAAAAACAAAAATAATTTGTAGTAATGAAGTGTAGTTTGATAAACTATACCTGACACAGGGTCAATGAAAACAAAGCGTTAACTTGAACCAATCAGACTTACTCGTATGGCAGAGAGTCAATATCCTTTATCTCCTTTGTTTTCAGCAAAGTGAATCCGTCAATGACATAGAAATGCTCCTTTCCAAACAGTAGCAGTCCTTCAGCCGTGTCCAGCCCTTGTATGCGCGCACAGCGGAACATGTGGCTGATCTGTTAAAAATGTAAAAATAATTCCACCATTATTGATCTCATTGAGTAATCTGGGGTACATCGGCATTCATGCAAACATAAATACATACATAGAAAAAGTTATTGACTTTACATATTACACAATATCACATCAATACAAATCAACATGCAGCTGCTGGTCACCATGAAACAGCACTCTGTCTTTTAAAGCGGAGATTAATATATGTCTTTTTTTGAGAACACACGCCAATGACTACCCACATAAATGATGTGTAATCAATATATGACTGACAGTATTTGGAGTCTGAACTCGCTATGCACTCAGCTTCGGGGGACACACACAGGCATACACTTTTAAACGGGATGATTAACTGTATCTGTTAAAATAATAATGTCTTTGGTGTCTGTCCAACCTAAACCAAACATTTTACATATTTATGGTAATGAGACTATGCTTTCTTAGAAGACAGACACTTTGCCATGAGATGTTAAAGATTACGATGGCAGCATTAGTTAAGTTTTAGTTCGAGACACAAACTGACTTAATAAAGGTGTAGGCAAAAAGCAAGACAAATAAAAGAAGGATACAAAATAAAAAATAGGAAGATACGAATGGAACCCTCCAAGCAACCTCAGAGGAACCCCCTAACCAGCCGCCTACCTGTTCCTTCTCCCCGATGAAGTGCAGAATAGTCTGGTTATCTGCCTTGGTAGCTGGGGACGGAGGCACATCCGAGTTGTTCTCCCCTGCTGGGTCCACCACTCCCTCTCCCTCGGGTCGGTCCACCAGACTCTCAGAGCGGTCAAGTTCTACGCCGTGACCGCTGTCCAGCTGACTGAGATCTTCACTGTCCTCATCCTCCCCCCCAGACTTGGAGCTAATGGAGCGAGGCAGAAGTTTCTTCAGGTTGTTCACATCTGCAGCACAGCAACAGCAAAGTTTTCAGTCAGGACAGGAGAAAAACAATAAAGGCCCCACGAACAATAACAATACATAACAAAAAGTTTAAGCACAATCAGACCGTCTGTATGTATTAAAAATTGTGTTTTTTATTTCTATGCTACAGTGCCACAGGTTTGTTAACACATGAAATATGATATGTTCTAAGTTTTTTAGTTCTTAAAAACTATTGTTACAACCCTCAGACTTCAAACATTTAAGACTAACAACACCCCTGCACTGACCATCAGGAGATCCGGAACTGACGTCGTTGTCGCTGGAGATGAGGTCAGTGTCTAGTGTGCTCTGTATGGGGGCAGCCTCCATACACAGGATGCCCTGAGGCCAGAAGTGCTCGTAGTACTCTTTGCTGTCCAGGCTGATGGCGATCTTGTACCTCAGAGGCTGGAACACAACAAGATATCACATTCAACATAAATAGACTCCAATGTGCCAGCCAGCTTAGCGACAGATAAAATAAGGTATCATCTCTTTTTGTTTGTTTGAGTAAACAAAAGCACATCAACACACTAATGGTCATTAAGTGCAGGGAAAAATTAAGACAGACAAACAGAAACTGCAGATTGAAAGAAAAGAAGTACGACCTACCAGTGGCACCCTCCAACCCCCTCCAGTATTATCTTTTTTGAGCTTTGTGTTAAGAGAAGCACATCAACTAAATATGTGTCACGATGTGGAATTAGGCGCTTGTCCTGTCATTTGCCTTGCTTTTGGTGAAAAAAATATCCATCAATGTTGAATAGGTTGAAATATTTGCGATTGAGGGGGAGTCAGGGTCGCCTGGTTTCAGAGGTAAAACTAGCAAGAAAATGGGTGCCAAAATTTGGGAATTTGCTTAGATTGAGAGTCCTTGGAAACTGAAAATTTACATTTTTTGTGCTTTTAATAAATGTTTTTCAATAAAATCCATACCGAAATGTGTTTTTATATGGATGTGAAAGGTGTTAAGACAAAAAAAAGAAAATAAGAAAAAAATTGCTGTTTGGCAAAAAAACATCGTCAATTTCTTTGATTCCATTATTTTGACAAGCGCCTTATTTCACCACGATGCCTCACATATCATATGTCTGTTAGAGCAAGGCAAACAGAAACATCACAGGGAAAATAAAGAAGTTGGGCCTACCAGAGAACCTTCCAACCATCTGATTACTATCTTTTTTCAAACTGAGTATCAAGTTTGAATAAAGAGAAGCATGTTGACACAGTAATGGTCATGCTGCGTCCGATACTAGTTACAACTTTCTTTTCATTTTGTGCTGGTTTTTGCAGTTTTTAAAAAACTATTCCCGGTCCAAGTTTTTTAGTATGATTAAGCCTTTGTTACCGCAATTTAGAAGTTGGAGGCAAACTTTTGGGGTTATAATGAGACATAGAGCACCAGGTTTAGGTGACAGTAGAAAAAAACTCAAGGAAATGGTGGAAAAAAACTCAGTGTTTAAAGAGTTAAAAAAAGCACACAAAAAAAGAATGCCACATATATGAGAGATTGGGCATATGTATAAATTGGTTAAATCTGAAGTCTATAAAAAAAGCTGCCTTTTCAATGTCAAATCAAGGAACATAAAAGTGTTCTGTATCATATCTTCAAGTAATCTAACCCTTTAAGTAAAACAAATAATGTAAAATAGCTCTCAAATTACAATATACAATAAAAGAATAGTGACAGAATCATCTTTCCTGTCTCCTGCAAAAATACTTAAAGGAGATGGCCGTTTTGAGACAAGTATATCAGAAACTGGAGAGCAGGTAATACTCAAAGATGAGTGAATCATCAGCTGACCTAAGGGTTCCAATAAATTATAAAAGTCATCGAAAGAAGACAAAGCTCAAATTCCTAACATAACCACACAATCTGAGTCTGTTTTGTACTCACACTCTCTTCCAAGTTGGGCCTGTAAGGGTAATGAATGTAAAACATGTCGTTTTTCATCATTTTCTTCCTCATTCTGAAGGGACCTGAGGAGAAATGAATCACAAAGTTAGAACAATACTCATAAAGGGTAAGGTGGGAAGGAAGAAGCATTTCCAGTACACAGGTAAATTTACATTAATGTTCTTGAGCTTGATTCTGCAACTCCGAGATGCAAATCACGTTGCAGCACGGTAAACTGTATTCGAATTTGATATATTTATTAAAATCGACATCACTCTGACCTGATTTATCAGATATAAGCGGTAGAAGTAGGGAGAAACATACATTGTACTGGAAAGTACTGTGACTAAACACTTCCTGACAGTTTTATTTATTCTTTGAAGGCTGTTTTCTTAGGTAGAAAAGACATTTACACACAACTACCAAATGTACCTGATCCAAGCATTTCCTCTAGGTTTCAGTTACAGCATGCACTTCAGGCCAACATAATACAGCAAATATACTGTAAAAACAGCAGTCTATAGCCTACACACCTTGATATTCCCATGTAAGGAAAGACAAAAGAAACCCAGCTTGTTTCTTTTCAGTCATGCCCACCTTGTCAAATCCACCTTCAGTCATGTCCAACACCAGCTTACCTTAAGTCATCAGTCATTTCCAGTAGCAGCTTACCCTAAGTCATCAGTCATTTCCAGAAGCAGCTTACCTTCAGTCATGTCCAGCACCATTTTGTCAAGGCGTGAGGCAGCCTGAGGCCCCCACAGACTTCTCACACGCAGTAGTTCCCTCTCCACCTGGTTCCAGTCCTCCAGAAGATATTTCTCCATGTGCTTCTGGGCCTACAGGGGGCACAGAACGATGAACAGATATGACAAAACTAGAATAAAAACCTTACACACAAACAGAGCTGATACACATAGCTGAAAGCCAGTAGCAACTATGTCCAAATTCCTTATTTTGAGTAAAAATGGATTTTTATAGCAAAATTAAAAACAGAAGAGGTTGAAAATTGTGATTGTGGCAAATCTGCAGCACAGATTGGTTTGATGTTTACAGGCATAGTGAAACATCATAAGAATGTCAAATTGTTGATGTTTTTGGCATTTGGGAAGAGTCACTTCTGGTTCTTTTTTTTTTAGTTTAGTTTTAGTAGAGGTTTTATGACGCTCGCAACTGCATAAGGTCATATGAGCGCCAAGGGGTGGATGTCAACAGGGAATCAGGCTTACTCTGCTCACCTCCCTAGCTTCAACAGCACGAAGTCTGCTTTGACTATCAAGGCACCCCGAAAATAGTGCGTCACAAGAGCGTGACAAACATACAAAAGAAGTAGAGGAAAATGACGATAGTAAGGATTAGGAAAGAAAAGCAGCAGTTCCCTGTTGTAGATCAGGCACAGTTATGAGCATGACATTGATGAATCAGCCCATTTACAATTCTACTGTGCATGAACGAGGAATGTCCCCCCCTTTGGGAATGGCCTAAAGACACTTCAGTCAGTGGCACCGCTCTGTTCTCAGCCAGTGATATATTTAGTTTAGTTTAGTTTAGTTTAGTTTAGTAGGGGTTTTTCGGCGCTCGCAACTGCATAAGGTCATATGAGCGCCAGAAGATTAGAGCTGTTACAAGAGAGTAACAAACATAAAAAAGATGAAGGGGAGATAAGGACGATAGATGTTTGATAGGAAAGAAGAAGCAAACCACACCAGAGCACCCGCCAACCACCCACAGTGATATATTTCTGAGCCTGAAGAAGGCATACACAAACAGCGTGACAAAACAATAACAATATCACCCTTACATACAAGCAGAGGTGGCAAAACTATAATAACAGCACCCTTACATACACAGTAGACAAAACATATAAAATCAACCTTATACATAGAGGTGACAAAATTATATTATCATAACTCTTACATATAGAGTCAGTGCAAATGTGCATGTGGGTGTGAACACAAGCACTTGTGTGTGTGCATGGACTTACGCTAGTCCAAACTGTTCAATGCACTAAGTTCATTTTTTTTTGTCGAGGACCAAAGAAGCTTAAATTAATGGTATGTGTTCTCAACAGGTCCAATCCTGTCACGGAGAGAGCAACAAGACACTCACCTGCACATACTGCTCATGCTGGAACTGGACCACGTCTTTCACCAGGGTCACATGACTGATGGTGGCTTGGTGGAAATCCTGGAGGAAGGGAAAAAGAAACAGCTAGTGAAGGGGAAAGTAGCATGTGACTTAGTATCAGTGCTCCAGGTTTTTCTGTGATAAATTCAAACAAAATCATGGCATGGAATCAAATCCTGTACGAGTCCATATAATAACATTTCACTGGAAAAAAGATAAGGACACTCTAAGAATAGATTGTAATAGACTGTAAATGTTTTACACCCCTGTTGACTCCATATTAAGATCATTCAAGGACTTGGCTGCTGCAACCTTGTCTGTCTGGGTAAGATAACTTCTCCACTAGGGAATTGAACTCATGTTCTCTGTATACAAAGACAGAAGAGCCAAACCTTTGAACCACAGTTGTTACAAATAGCGCTGAGCTGTCAGGTTTGATTCTTTACCTAACACATTTCGTACCTTTAACTCTTACCATCGGTCAGATTTTAATTCTTCTGACTGCACGGATCCAAACTGGAGGTATAAATCTTTTCAGTCACAACAAAACAGACGTTTGGAGACAGAAAAATAAGTTACTCACATTGACGTGTATGTTGGAGACAGGCGATGACTTGAGAGGTATGTCCCTCTTGGTTCGCCGAGAGGCCAGGCGCAGCACTCCCGTCACTCCACTGCCCACCTTTTGCAATTTCTGCTCACGAAAAACAAATAACAAAGAGTGTGAGCTTTTCGGGGCGACTTAGTTGAGCAGAAGTTCTGATTACTTGCAATTAATCAAATCTTTTACAGACTATGTAATTGCCACACGCTCGTCCATACAGCACACATCATGATGACTTCTACCAAACAATAACCGATAATGTGTTACAAGTTACGTCTCCCACACTGAAGGCATTCTATCCTTATCAGGCATGTTTCCTTAAGTTAATTAAAAACATTTTTTTTGTTTTTGGGGGGGGTGGTGGTGGTGGTGGGGGGTTTCCCCACAGAACTTTGAAACGTGTGTAGGGGGGGGGGGGGGGGGGGGTGTATAAGTAGAAATTATTACCAACAGTCACTATGCCAACATCTGGTGAAGTCTCAGAATCAAGTAATTTCAGCATGTGTGAATTAGGAAACCAAATTAGGTTGTAAGAGAATGGAAAAGGAGCAGCAGCTCTAGAGACTCACAGACTGAATCTGATTCTGCAGTTTTTCCAAGTGCAGGAAGGAAGACTTCCTCTCATTCTCTGCATAGGCAACCCAGATTTTAGAGGCCGCTTCTTGAAGCATCAGTCTGAGGAAATATAACAGAAATATGAATGACGCAGACTTTTCTGTCACATTTATCTGAAGAACACGAATATATCAGAGAACAGGGAACTTTTCTTGGGTGGATATATTGAGTTTCAGCTATACAGAGAATTCAATATAACACAAGCGAATCAAAAGCCGTGACTTCAAAACAAATGTCCAATATCATCCGAAAAGAAAAATTACAACTTTTTCAAACAATGTTTAGAAACTGACAAGAAACTTGATCACTACTAACAAAGTTCGACTTCTTAACAAAGCAATCAATAGCACAGTCTTTTAGCAATATGAGCACAAAACTTCTTTACTTACCTGACACTGTTCAGATCTGGTGTGGCAATTGACCGGGCAGGGCTGCTGTTGTTGAACTGTACCTTGAATATCTCTTCAAGAGCCTGAGGAAACAGAGGATAGGTAGAATGCAAAATATTCTGCCTGTGTGTGTGTGTGTGTGTGTGTGTGTGTGTGTGTGTGTGTGTGTGTGTGTGTGTGAGTGTGTGTGTTTGTGTGTGCGTGTACGCGCATGTGCATGCATGTGGAAAAGAGACAGAGATAAACATAGAGAAAAATAGACAGACAAACAGACATATAATGAGCAGACACATACACATGAGAAGAAAGTGGGAACTTAATTATCCTCATAGAAAATTTTCTCTAAGCGACAGACAAAGGTAATCAAAGATGTGTACATTTACAATAGAAATAATACCACAGAGAATTCAGGAGGAAGGAAAGAAACATGGATTTATCATGCTTGCTACAACAGTTTTCCAAATTTCAAAATATTTCCATTGTTTCAGTCAGATCAGTCACAATAAAAGCACTGAAACTTCATCAAGTCATTCCAACTTTTTAAAATTCTAGAAGTAAACACAAATGTGTTGACTTAAGTGTACCTCATCCTTTCTCAAATACTAGACGTAAATACAAAGCACACTCCATTCGTTTTTTTAAATTCTAGAGGTAATCACAAATGTGTTGACCCTAGAACACTCTATGTTGGTGGCTCATTTCTTCAAAATAAATACCCTGTGTAGATACCCTCATCCCTTCCACAGCCCAGGACTCACAGGTTTCTTAAAGACGTAGAGCTCATCCCAGACTCGCTTTGCCGCGGTGGCCACAAGCTGCATGCCCTGACAGAGGGCTGGGTTCGTCAGCTCGGGCCTGTCTGCCGAGTCACTAGAGGCTACCGGTGAATCCAGTTCGTGCACGGTTGATGCATCTGGGTCAACGTGCCAGGTGGTCATGCGAGGTTTGGGCTCGCTCAGGTTGGCTCCGCTGATGGTGTAAAAAGTGACATAAAAATAAAAATATTAATTAAAATAAAATCACAGAAGAAAAACCAAATTTATTAGCACAATTTCGCTCCTCTAATTTACAATGAAGATATATTGGAGTTTAGTGTTTTCTTTTTCAGGAGTTCTGAAGTTAACAAAAAATCTGACTAATAAACAGTCCGCACAGGAGTGTTAGTTGGCCTGAAAGTAAGTTGCTTGCCAACGAGTCTAGTATCTGGTTTGGTTCCTCTTATGTCAATCATATACGGTCTATAGAGACATGGGTTGTTTTTTTGATTGGGGGGGGGGGGGTGTTCAATCTGACTTGATCTTAGATAGAGTAGGATAAAACATCTTGTCTTCTCCTCTCTCTCTCTCCCCCCTCTCTAACCTTGTTTCAGGGTCCTCAGTCAGCTGCAGCAGACAGTAGCAGAGACAGCCCAGGAACTCGTTGTCATGGTTACCCGGACCAAAGACCAGGTTCCTGTTGTTGGTGAGCACGTGCAGAGCATCCAGCACACTGGCCTGGCTGGCCACAGAGTCTATGGGTCGCGACAGTTGGAACAGGACCGTGCGGTTCAGGCATTTGTACAAAGGCTCCAAGGAGATGCCAGTGGCTGTGGGGGGACGAGAACAAACACGTTAGCCAAAAGTACTTCTTGCATTTACAGCATAATGACAATAATAATAATAATAATAATACCAATAACAATAATAATAACAACAACAATAATAATAATAATAATAATAATAATAATAATAATAATAATAACAATAATAATGTACAGCTCTCATTCATTACAAAAGTTAGCACACCATGCAGCCCTCAGTGCCTGAAGTTGTCTAGAAAAATCAGAGGAATCAGCAGTAATGTCACAAACTCATCCAAAACCTTCTCACTGAAACTTCTAAAAGGCCAAATCGAAAAGGTAAACATATGAAATAGAGTTGTGCTTTAATATGTTCATATATCAACAATACAAGCAGAGCTAACGGCAATTTTGGAGCAATGTTTCATATTATGTCAACCGACGTAGCTAGTCACATTGATCTAATTATGCAAAGGACTAGCTTGTCATTGGACTATTAGTTTTTAGTTAAATTTAGTAAGAGTTTTACGGCGCTCGCAACAGCAAAATATGAGTTAGACTGCTTATATAGCTCATATACATACTCAAAAGTGAGCTCTGTGGGCTTTATAATCTCAAACAAGAATCAAACAGTATCAAAGCAAGGTAAAGGCTCGAAAAGACTCTAAAGCTGACATGCTCAGGAGGAGCTCAAAAGGGTTAAGTATGTTATTCACAGTGCTGAATCTAAACAAGTGTCAACTGACAAGAAAGTTATTCACAGTACTGAATCTCAACAAGTGTCTAACATCAAGGAAGTTAGACACAGAGTTGAATCTTAAAGTGCCAAATGACAAGTAAGTTATTCACAAAACTGAATCTCAACAAGTGGCAAATGTCAAGTGGAAGTTTTTCGCAGTGCTGAGAGTCAACAGGCAGACAGTGTTAAGACAGTTATTCGCAGAGCTGAATCTCAACAGTAATTAGATCACATCACAGACAAATGCAACTCTTTTATATTCAAGGCATTACTCCAAAAGCTTGCTGCTTGCCAACTCCCTGGCCCCACTGTAAAAAAAACAAAAACGTAGACAGTTCACTGTTATCAGTTATTTTAACACAAGGAGGCATCACATTATACCAATACAATAACACACACATGCTTACAATGACCATTTCAAAAAAGTTTTAGTAAAAGTTTTACGACACTTGTAACACAATAAGGTCATGTAAATCTGAAAATTAGAGGTGTAACAAGAGACCACAACAAAGAAAGAGGAGAGATAAGATAAGAAAGGGAGAACAAACCACACCATAGCACCCACCAACCACCCACAACAATAACCATGAGAGCACACACGGGCACACACACACACACACCTGCACACACATAACCCCCCCCCTTCCCCACACACACAAATGCACAGTAAAAACAAGCCTCAAGTTTGTATTACTCAGCAGTAAGACAATAGTGTCTTTGAATTTTCACCATGAAATAGTCCAGTTCTAACTTTCTTTGACAAAGCCATTGTGTGACCATAAACTTCGATAGCGAATCATCACCTACTTCTTTATCCAGCACTTGGTGACATGAGAACCCCCCCCCCCCCCCCCCCCCCACACAAAAAAAGCAAACAAACAACATAACAAGATATCATCCAGCATTCAAGAAAACCACCACTACCCCTTTATTCCCCCCCCCCCCACAGTGTAGCACTTGATGACATGAGAGCTGCCCCCCCCTCCCCCCCAAACACACACTGTCCAGAACTCAACAACTTTAGGACTACACCCCCCCCCCACCCCCCACCCCCCCAACTTCACAGCAATTTACAACACCAAAAGATACCTTTCTCTCTACTCCCCCTCCCCTGTGACCATATACGAAGACAAACTTAACCCTTCCAGCCCCAGCCATTTCTGTGCTCTCCCTAACCCCAGTACCAGCCAATACAGCAGTATTTCAGAAACAGAGGCGTGCATTCTAAAAAGAGATGCAGTATCTTTATTATATGGTTTAGATGATAACGCATACAATTTTTAAAGGTAAATTAACAAATATTTTGAAAAATTAAAGTTTGATTAGGTTAGGTAATTTCGAAAAAGGCGCAAATTCGGTACTCCCGAAACTGAAAATATACGCTCTTGGGACGATGGAAGGTACAAGCACTGCTGAAAATATACGCGTATGGGGCTGGAAGGGTTAATAAAACCTCACAGCCACAGAAACAACCTACTCACACAGCAGTATAGTACGTCCACCAAAAGGTTAATTAATCTACTCACGAACTTTTACTTACATTTTCGTTTTGCTTGAGATATCAGCTTGCTCAGGAAATCAAAGACTTCTTTAGCTTCTCTTGTGAAAATACCTGATTAAAAAATTGAAAAAATATGATACAGAAATGATTGACAATGTTGGATAAGATGTTTTGACGACACTCAAATGCAGCACATGTTTTAGAAAACCAGAAAACTTCAACCAGTTGCATCTACTAGATATCAGTGCTTCACAAATTGGCTAAAATCAAGTCCCTGAGGCTTCAAGGGCTACCAGAATAAATATTATTCATATATTATTATATAAACAAATCTTTCTAAAAAATTGTTCAGTATACTATTTCTTACTGTATTAAAAGGTTAAATGGCCGAACATAGGGGACAAAAGTAGTACCTTGTCCATAAAATACAAGTTTTGTTTGTTTGGGTAAAAAGAAGCATATCTTCACAATAACAGTCATTTTGTGCTCCAGAAAAAGACTAAACAAGCAGAAACAAAACAAGGACCTGCCAGGGGAGCCCTCCAACCACCAGCACTGGAACTTTACAAACGTTTTTAAAAAGAATTGAAATAATTCTTTAAAAAATCATTTCTTCAAATTACAAATGCGTGCTAGTATGGTGCACTGACCATGCCACATCTTGTCCACGACCCGACTGGCCAGATAGAAGACACTTGTGGCCATGTTGCTGTAGCTACTGCCTGTCATGACCCCGCCCAGGCCAGCCGACTCCCCCAGCAGGACGTCAGCAGCCAGCAGGTGCTCCATGAGGATGTGCAGCATCTCTGTCTGGAACTCTTTTTGCTGGGCACGACTTGCGTGATCGGGGGAGGCCTGTCGGACAACAATAGTGACAAATTACATGACCATGTTTGTGTAAGAGAAAAGAGGATTCAGTAAAAACAAAAAACAGCAGTGCAATTTTTCACCAATATTTTGAGTTTTAACTTTATTTTTCTTCCCACAGCAGTAGCGACACTGACAACAATATGGGCTTTTCAGGGGAGGGGGCAACATGAGGAAACAATTTCATTGCTTGCTCCAAAAAGGTGTTTTAAGTTATCAGTTTATTACTTTTGGCCTTCTCTGTCCAAGAACCAATGTCTACTTACATCGAGCATAGTGTCCAGCACTGTTGTGGACTTGCTGCTGCCCATCTGAGCTAGACTGTCGATGATGATGGTGCGGATGAAATCGATGATGAACCGTCGGGCTGGGTGGCCCGTCAAAAAACCTGAGAGGATGACAGTAAGCCAGAGGTGAGCCATAGTTTACAGCAAGACCACAGCCACATTTTGTCAGGCACAGATTATGGAAATGATAGCATTGAAAAGAAATGGATGAAGCAGAGCCAACACTAACACCAACACTGATTGTACATGTCTTTTGCCCCTAATAACACAATTAAGATTTTTTAGAAGTTGAGTAAAAGAAAAATGGAGAGTCAACAAACACAGTACCCTCATAGAGAGATGAAAGAATAAAACTCTTTTTTGGACAATGGTGAATAGCGTTACCATAACACTATGGACCCCGTTACATTAACCACTCAAACTGATGAAGACAACTAAATTATGTGAAGAAACAGACTGAGTAACAGGAAAAGACAAATGATGATCATTTGAAGCTGAATAAAAGGGGAAATCAAAGTCGAACAAAAGAACAGAGGGATGCAAAAGAAATAGGACTTATTAACAGCTGCCTCCAGTTATTAGCAAAATAATAACTTAAATATAACTAATGTTCAATTCTTGTCCTCTGAAACAAACTAGACTATAGTGGCATATGGATGGTACATGTACCTTATTTTCAAGAAGCACAACTACTATCTTTTACTTTAGGGACATAGTACTAATCTCAATAAGCAAAACAGAAAAGTATGGTATGAAACTGTTCCCTCCGAACTTCCCATAAATAAATTCACAACCACACCTCTCAGCTGGGCTGGTGCTATCATGTACAGAATGGGTTTTTTTACCTGCACACTCTCTGTCCGGACTCCTCACCACAGTCAACGGCTCAGACTCTGGGAAAGGCTGGTGGAAAAGGAGAAAGTCAACAAAGCGCCAGACCAGTCCTCAGACCACAATGTTCAATTCTTTTTTTTTTTAATGAAAGAAAGGGAAAAAAATCCTGAAAACAATACTTCTATTATGATGAGCAGAAATATTGCTTAAAATTATATAAACAAAAACATTCACAACATACAAAACATAGCACAGTACAAAGCAAATACAATCACTTCTAAATATACTAACAACCCTGCAATGCAGCTTCCACTGTAGTAAATAAATCTTCCATAAAGACACACTCCCCAGACTTACGACCAAATCTACAGCCATGAGATAGCACTGCTTGTGAAATATTCCACAGTACGGTTATATATTACAGACAGAAGATAAAACATTACAGGTTGAAGAGACAAGTCCAGAAGCTGTAAACAGCAACAAGAATGTTTGTTATCTGTTCATACTACAAAATCCTTCTCAGTCTAAGGCAATGCCTAACAGATCATTTGAACTGTTCTCTTCAACTGATGATCCCATCATATGGCGATCGGGGACAAGTTGCTATCTTTCTTCAGCAGCACCCCATTCAGCAGGCCGAGACCAATGCCTACCTTAAACTCCTCCTGTGGCGTGGTGACATCACTGCTGGACTCACTGACCGGGTACGGGAACAGCGTGGAGACCAGGCTCGAGATGAAGTCAGAGGAGTGGCACACAGACTGGAACTCTGCCAGGTTGTGGTATAGGTACAACAGGAACTGGACCACTGTCACCGGGTATTCCTCCTCCTCCTCCGTACTGCTGGCAATGCTAAACTCAGTCTGTGGGTGTGCAAAAAGATGAAAATGTTATGGACTTTTGAGCCTAATTCAACTTAGAAAGAGACAAAAATTCATAAACCGGCAACACATTGAACAAGGCGAAAAAAGGAGACTGACTCCC